CAGCAACTGCTGCATCCAGGCAGTAAGCGAAGCTGTGGAGATGCGAGGTGGGACTGCTGCTTGCTTGTACACAGGGATTTTATTTGGATATTGGTCTTTMGTAGCTAGTCAACCAGCAGCTCTAAACCGGTAGTAAAACGATGATTAATCCTCCTTTTGTCCAAACTGTCCCCTCTGCTCCAACTTCATCGTCAGCAATGTGCCATGGGGTCCAGTTTCCTTAGAGCTGTCTATCTGTGACGGCTTTAGTCATTCATCCAAAAGGGGCAGAAGTGGTTGTGTAAAGTGTATTACAAACAGATGCTGCAGAGGAGGCTTCTCTTTCCCAATGGATGTGCAGGTTGTGCAGATGTTGAAATCACTGTAGATTTTTCAAGGGAAATCTGCGGGCTTTGTCCCATGGAGTGTTATTGCTTTTTTTTATTTTGAAACTAGGCCTGAAGACTGTAATTTTGGATGTTTTTCTTTTATGCTTTAAATCAAGACTTAGGTTTGCTTACAGATGGTTTCTTTGTTGACAAAAGTAAATTTGAGTTTCAGTGTTTCGTATGTGCAAAATAAGGCTGAAAATATGTCAAAATGTATCTTGATGTGACAAAATGAAGGTTGTCAGATTACTCTGATATTCACCAGTAAGAAATAATTTTTGGGCAGTTGTTAAATTGTCTGTGCTCAGTTTAGCTGTTTGATAATCTAGTTTAAGGCAACATCCTGTGGAGTGCTTGAGACAACGCGGCTCTGCTGCCCGTGGCAAAGATAAAGGCTTTGTGGTAGGAACCTTCGCTTTGGCTTTATTGATTTGATGGAGGTAGACATATTAATGAAGACAAGGAGCGTTAGAGAAGAATTTCCATCAGCCTGTTTCTTCGGTAGCAATGACTTTTGATTTAGTGCACAGATCACTTTAAACTGGCCTTTCATTAAGCAGACTGGGGCGTGTAGGCTGCAGGAGCTGGGGTGTGCTGGTAGGGCAAGGGTTGCTCCGTGCATCCATTTGTGCGGCTCCTTGGAAAGCCTTTGGGATGGTGCTTCCCTAGCCTTTCTGAGCTGCTCGTTGTCCTCGCTGGCCACGCTCCCACTGCTGCCGAATCTGCTTGGAGTGCAGCGTCCAAGACGGAGCACGTCAGACCTCACTGCTGCCTTCCCAATGGGACATCAGCAATCTGCCTTGGAGCAGCCAGGCAGCGTGGTGGGACGTGGCCTTCGGCAGAGGAAGCCAGTGCTGCAGGGTCCTGTTCAGCTGGTGATCAGTGGTCCCCCAGCTTAAACACAGGTCTTTTATTGCTGAAGACCTGCATATTAGTCCATACTTGTCCTTGTTGTGCAGTTATGTATGTGCAGCRTTGTCCTACAGCAAAGCTCAGGTCACAGAAGCGATGCATCAAAGCTAACGACACAAGTTGAAATGTACTTTTCTTTCTGCTCTTTGATGTTTGGAACAGATGTTTTTAGGGAAGCATAAATAATTCAGGGTTACTGCAGCAGAGCGTTTCTTTGATGCTTTGACGATGCACGTGTGTGTTTGCCTTCAGCCACGGTGAGCCAAGGCACCCGAGCTCTTCCTTGGTTCTCAGTGACAGGATACAACTTCAGAAAGATCCTGTGTTAGCTGTGGAAAGCGCCAAGCCACGCACAGGTGCTTACACCACAGGTATCAAGTACATCCATTTTGCATGTTGAGCTATTATGTTTTGACTACTGGRTTTATATACTGAAATTCCGTGTTACAAAACTGGTGATCTTCATCTGGACATGTGAGCTGCTTCAGAGACTCCCACGGCTCAAAGCAGAATCAAAACAACTTGTTGTAAGAGATGGAAGAGGTTGAGTTTTTACTTCCCTCTACACATCTAGGGCTCACTGAAGACTAACAGTCTGGACACCAGTGTGCAAAGAGAGAAGTTGGTTTCTCAAGATTTCTTGGCAGATTAGGAAAAAGGCTTAGGTTTYCAAATTGCCAAGTCTGTTAGGAACTATCTGAAGCGTTTGCTTAAGTCTTTGCAGTGCAGGCTGGAGACTGAGCTTCTGGAGAGCAGCTCTATAGAGAGAGACCTAGGCCTCATTGTGGACGACAAGATGACCGTGAGGCAGCAGCACCTTCRTGGCCAAGAAGGCCAACGGGATCCTGGGGTGCATTAAGAAGAGCATCTCCAGCAGGTCGAGAGAGGTGATCATCCCCCTCTACTCAACCCTGGTGAGGCCACATCTGGAGACTGTGTCCAGTTCTGGGCTCCCCAGTACAAGAGGGATGTGGAGCTGCTGGAGAGAGTCCAGCGCAGGGCTACSAGGATGATCAGGGGCCTGGAACATCTGCCCTGTGAGCAAAGGCTGAGGGAGCTGGGYCTGTTCAGCCTGGAGAAGAGGAGGCTGAGGGGGGACCCGAGCAGTGTCTATAGATACCTCAAGGGAGGCAGTGAGGAGGAGGGGGCGGCCTCTTTGCAGTGGTGGACAGTGATAGGACTAGAGGAAAGGGCCACAAGCTGAGGCACCAAAAGTTCCACAGGAACTTAAGGAAACACTTCTTAATAGTGAGGGTGACAGAGCCCTGGCCCAGGCTGCCCAGGGAGGTTGTGCAGGATCCCTCTTTGGAGACCTTGAAAACCTGCCTGGACGCAGCCCTGTGCCCCGTGCTCTGGGTGACCCTGCGTGTGCAGGGGTTTGGACCAGATGGTCTCTAGAGGTCCCTTCCAACCTTAAGGATTCTAGGATTCCRTGAAGTCTCTGAATCCTTTGAATTGCATTCTTGTGAAGGCAGGATTGCTTTTCCCATCTGTGAGGCTCGAAGGAGATGAGGAACCCGGTGTGACTGAAGCAGGAGTTGATGATAAGCCTTGGCTTTCTTTACCCACTGCCTGCCTCGTATCTCTTTTCAAGGACCCCTGAATCAYCACAGCAATCATCTTTGTACCAAAAGATCACAGCAGTGACCTGCAGAGTTGATTCTCAGTCTTTTAAAGCAAGCAACCGGGGTCCACATTAACAGACTGGAACTTCTAGAGGACGAAGCTGGTTTTTGCAACTGACTTTCCAAACAAGCTGTCCCCATGGTGCTTTTTGTGCCTTATTATCCTTTGATATGGAAAAGAAGCTGAGGCAAAAGGCTTAATCCAAAGCACACAGAAGTCATGGGAGGGCCCGTCATTCACCGTGCTGAACTTTGGTTCAGAGCAATAGTCCTTTGCTTGTTATTTCTCTGCAGGCCACTGGTCTTAAAAATAAAGTCAAGAGTGTTTGCAAGCGGCGTGAGCGCGTGTGTGCGAGCAGGGGAGAAGCCCTGCAGGGGCTGGTAGCACTGAGCGCTCGGGAAGCCCCGTTGCTTTGCCCGAGCAGCGTGCGGCCGGAACGCCGGATCCCCAGCTGCGTCCCGGGGTCTTGGGAGGGGGATCTGGCTATTTAGCTATTGACCTTTATTTGAGAGAGTGGCACTGCTTGCATGCTCAGAAGCAAGGAGTATATTGGATGCTGAGCTCAAGAAACCCCCAAAACACGCTTCCAAAAGCCATGCAGGTTTTCTGCTTGGCTGCTTGTCAGGTGATGTTCTCTTCATTGGGAACAGGATAAAAGAAAATCGCCCTCTAGCCTTCGCAACACATTAAGGAGAACAATCGGAATTAGTTGAAGCCTTCAGCTTGATGCACATGGGTCGAAGCTCGCGAGGAATCCAGCTGCTGGGTCAAGGTTAAAGTGAGCAATTTGCACCGTTCTGCTGCTTAGTGTCGCCGCTGCTGCAGGCTGCACAAGCACAAACAGCAGCAAACACAGAAATGGTTTCATTTTTGTTTACCTGATCACATCATAGTTCTTGGGGGTCTCTTTGGAGAAAGACCGGCACTGTCCTGGCCGTAAGCTGGGTCTCGGGGTGCAGGTAGTGGCGCTCTGCACATCTGCTGGTGTTTTCTGGCACTGTGTTGATGACACTGTGAGGTCTCTGCTGGGGTACAGCCGTGAATGGCGTGCGTCTGAGACACCGTCCCCCTCATTGCCCTGTTTTCCCCCAGCTTCCTTCCCTGTTGTCCACTATATCTAACCCAGTATTTGTGGTTCTGGTGCACTTTAGCTTGGCCAGTCCTTCAAAGGAAGGAGAAACTGCTGAAATGAGCACTCAGAGCAATGCAGAAAATGTTTAGAAATAAAATTAGCTCTTTGAGGTCTTTAGCAAACAGTTCTGGCTGAAATGCACTTCTAGATTTGCCTATTATGGATTTTTTTTATTTTTCCATTATGCAAAGTATTAATATAATGTATTTACAGTTTGTGTATGCAGGCATTGTTTGATTCTTCTGTTCTCTACCAAAATGTCCAGTTTCTGTTTCAAAGTTATATCCTATGACACTACAAAGGGCACAGCACAGAGTTCGTTCTCTTGCGTTAGAACAGGTGTCAGTCCTGCTTGCGAAGGAAACAACGGCAGCTTTAACAGGGAGAGAGAGRTGCTGAATAAAGACCAGAACATTTTGGTGCAGATCTAATCTGAACACAGTTCAGGAAATTTTCAAGATCCACGGTATGTTCTTAAACCTCATTGACCACTTGTTTTCTTGAATATTCAGTCCGAGGGTCACCAAATTCCGTGGCGGCAGGGACGTTTGATTGATGTCTTTGTTTGCTCTGCTCCGAGTGCTCTGACAGCAGCGCGGGCGAGGAAGGGCTTGAGAATACCTCGAGAGAGGGGGGACAAACACTGAAGGTTTGCAGATTATGGTGGTTATTCTTCAGCTGTCAGCAGCTTAGCSTAATTTAAATCTGGTGGCTACTCCTGCTTTTCATTGCAGAAATGACAGGTACTTTAGCAGTGTATGCTACGTGGTGATGTTTCATTAGGATCTGATCCGGCAAGGAATTAACCTCTGTATGTGTGACATGGGATGTCTCTGTCTCTTTACACACGTTATTTGTAGACATGAGGCGAAGCGTGTGCATTGCTCTCTGCAAAGTGAGGTTATAAAGATACTGCCTTGGTGCTTTGTTAGACTAAACTTGGCTCTCTTTGCATGTTTCAGCCTTAAAAAAAGGTCGCTTTTGGATCACTCCTGACCCATATCACAAAGACGACAACATCCAGATTGGGCGTGAGGTGAAAATCTCCTGCCAGGTGGAGGCCGTCCCTTCTGAAGAGCTGACGTTCAGCTGGTTCAAAAACGGGCGTCCCCTGCGGAGCTCCGAGCGGATGGTCATCACACAGACTGACCCCGACGTCTCCCCTGGCACCACAAACCTGGACATCATTGACTTGAAATTCACTGACTTTGGGACGTACACATGTGTCGCGTCCCTGAAAGGAGGTGGGATATCCGATATCAGCATCGATGTCAACATCTCCAGCAGCACAGGTAAGGAGGCTAGCTCAGTGTCAGCTTTACTTCTTCGTAGCCAAGCAGTGGCTTTCCTTGACTCGTGAAAAAGAGGGGTGTACGTGTGGAAAACCAGGGGGATGTTACAGCAGAACTCAGCACCTTGATCTGCTGCTGAGGGCACCTCACTGAAGGGCAGAAGGCCAAACACATGACAGGGGATGCTCCATCCCAAGGAAGGCCAATGTTTAACCAGATAGACCCATTTCCATCCTCAGAAAAGCTGTTGGACCTAGAAAAGGGCTAAAAGCCCCTTGGCCTTTGTTTTGAACTTTCAGGCGTGAAAAATCAAGGATAAAGAGCTCACTGGAATTTATAAGGTATGGGCTGGATTTATGTTAATGCAGCAGGATCCATCCCGCTGCTTCCACTGTGCAGCAAGCACAGAGTGTGGAGGAAGCAGYTTGTTCTGAAGAGCACACGTTGCGTGTCGGCGATCCCTGCCATTCCCAACGAGCGAAATATCTTGGGTGCCTCTTCTGCTTGTTTCCAGATTGGCGACAGAGACGTCGCTCTCTGACGCAGTGAAATCCTAGCTGCTATTTTGACCAAAGATAAATGTCTTGTTGTGGCTCTGCAATGGGAACTCAGGAGTCATTTCTGCTTTGCTTTATCTCTTTTCGCATAGCTGGTTTGTAACCAATAGATTTCTTAGACTTTTCCCCCCAGCAGTGGGGTTTAATAACTGAGGCGATCYGTGTTTTTACTGTAATCCCAGAGCAGTAAAAGCCTATAGATTAGTAGAAAAGCATGTCTTTCAACAGAAGCATTTTGTTTGCATCTGTTATCCCATATTTGTTTTCTTACAAAATTTCGTTTTTGTTTTGCTTCCAAAGCAATGCCTGTATATCCAAGAAAAATCAATGATCTTCTTTCKCTTGCCTTAAAAAAATCAGTTTCCACTCAACTGTGTCCTACTAAAACTCATTATATATATATATAGATAGATATAGATATAGATATTTTAAATAAACCAGAAAATATATTTTGAATGYGGATTTTTTTCCTGCCACCACTATGTGCAACCAAGAAGAGGGTTGCTGGTTGTTTCTACGCTAAAAACACGTTTGTGCTTTCAGCATGTTGGTGTTTTCTGCTTGTTCTACAAAGTGCTGGCTTTTTGCTCGGCTTATGCTTGGCGTTTAGAAGTAAGACAACGCGGAACAAGAGCTTAGGAGAGCGTTCTGTAACAGGGCAAGARCGTGTTTAATGGGGAGCTCTGCCCTGTGCAGCAGGCGCGTTCACRTATGTGCGCTCTGCTCGGCGCTGGTTTGGGTGCCTCGGAGGCCGGGCTGCTGGCCCCGCGCCCGCTGGGTGCCACGTGGTGGGAGTGTGTCCTCACGTGCAGCTCCTCCAGTGGCGTGGCTGCTTGTGGTCATCTGGGGCGATACTTAAATGTCGTTCCACGCCACATGCGTGTGTTTAGAGGCTGCCAGTCTCGTGCCCGGTGATCAAACATCAAACGTGTGTGCAAGCTGAGGGGTGGCCCTTCACACACCAGCCCCCGAGCTCCCTGTGGTGGATGCTCTGCTGCAGGAGTGTCCTCTCGCAGGTCCAGCTCCACGTTTCCTCCAACGTGGATTTCTGGAGCCCTTGCCCGCTGCAAGGGCCGGCGTGATGGATGGCAAACACTACATTGCCTTCTTGCTGGGCTGCAATGGACGGTGACGYGTTGGGTGCTCATGCGTCTCCTGCCTGGAAAAAAGTCACCACTATATAACCCTTACTTGCTGGGGAATCACTTGGGAAATGGATGGGATTTATTGGAAGCATCCGTTAGCTGGCCAGACGTCTCAGCTTTTCGCAGCTGCTGCAGGCAGTGATGAAATACGTCAGCTCTTAAATTCACGGTCCCGTGACACTCAAGTAAAACAGAAAGAGGGGAGAAAGCCCAGCATTGGGCACAATGATCAGGTGTGAGCAGGTTGGAAAGAGGGAGTCAAGGGCGCGAGGGAACATGGCAGCATTTCGGCACACTTTGAGTTTGGCTGGTTTGTAGGGAATGTTTTTCCCTTGATGCTCTATACTCTTATCAGGAGAGGCATAAATTTATGTCTTGTGTTCATGTCCTTTTATAAAGGAACCTGGTGTAATCCTGGCTCTCCTCCTGCCATATCTCAGTAAAGTAGGTCAGGTAAGAGTGGAAATGAAGACTCAAATACTGCAGCTTTGCCCTGTAAGAGCCCAGCACCCATACGCCAACACTGGACAAATACTGTGGAAAGGCAGGATGAATGTCCCGAGTGGTGGGCGGGGGACTCGGAGGGCAAGAGATGTTAAGACAGCAACAAAAAGCAGAGAAATATGCTTGTGCCAACCAGAAAATAGAACTGAATCAGAAAAACGTGTTAGTCTTTGCATGTGATCTTTTTCTCTGCCTTGAATATATTCAAAGCAGGAAGAAATGGTGCTTAAGGCACCTGTTTGTTGTGTTGTGTTCAGCGTGRGTCCCTCCACCACCTTTATCTCCTGAAAATTAGTGTCAGGGCAGGACGAGGTGCAACATCTGTCACCCCTGCCTTACTCTGCCCTCGCCTTCCCCCGGAGGCAGCGAGGTGCTGCGGAGCCGTCTCTTCTTTAGGTTTGTTTTATGTCATTTGGGGGCTCTGACTGGAAATTAGACGGGCCTGATGGAAGAAATAACACGTGGTCTGGAGGAGGCAGCCGTGTCCCTTCCCGACTCAGAGTCACTTCTGCTGACCTGACTGGCTTCTGCGCAAGGAAGAGGAAATGTAAAAAACAAATGTATATTGGGCCATGCAGCCTCCCTACTGTACAATGAGAGTCATAAACCAATCAGCTATCTGTTAGATAAGGAATTCATTAAAGTCCAGGCTGAAGTATTAGATCGTGTGGCCTTGATCTGCTCATGAAGGATGTGTCCTCTGCTCAACCCCTTCTTGCTTTGATGATGCATAAAAGAGATCTGCRCTGCAGTTCTAAGTGCTGGTTAAAATCCCGGTTCCCTCTCGTTGCATAATGAAAAAAATGCTTTCTGTGAGATAATTAGCCATCCAATTAAGATATTTGTAAACCTTAAGCGTTGTCCAGAGCGATCATTTACAGACAACCTTGAGAAMATACAGGGTGCTACAAGCAAATAGGCCGACATTTCATTATGGCAGTAAATTGACTATTTCTGTGAGCCATTATCTACGAGTTTATCTTTGAAAGGAATAGGTGAACAGAAGGGACAGATAAATGCTGGATTTCTCTAAAAAGCTTTTCTTTTATAGTTCTATTTTAGTACTTAATGTGCAGAGATTTTTCTTTTTAATTTTATCTCTGRGAGCTGCTGTCCCTTCCCGTAGCTCTGTCGACACCGGTGGCCAAGCAATTTGGCTCCGTGCTGTGGTTGGGAGAGGACGAGGGTTGTCCCGCAGGCTCCGGGCAGCCCTTGGCTCCTCCTGGACCTCCAGCTACTCCAAAATACAGCCGTTCACTGCACGGTCACGTTAGCTCTGTTTTCCAGGAGCAGACACCTTGGTTCAGGGCTGCACATTATGGAAGCTCTTTATTCCCCTCCAGAGAGGAGAAGAGAAGAGCTCCTCGTTGCACATCCTCATGGAGCATCTCGGCACGACTCCCGAGGGACTGCTGAAAACTCATTTGGCTAATTTGCTGCTGACTCTGTCTGTTCTAGGTGGAAAATTTGTGCCACTTCAGGATTTAACGGCAGAGCTAAGTACTAATTCAGAAATTACCGTTGAAATGGATCTCTTGAAAACCTTGCCGTGAAATTGGGGATTGCTGTTCACGTCTTTACCTGCAATTAGAAGGGGTTTGTGCCCAAGAAAACTTGGGTCATGGAGTTCTCTTTTCTCCCTCGTGTTCTTCATGCAGGACAGTGCCCAGGCAACTGTCCCRGGGGAAAGAGCATGTCCTTACAGGGCTCTTGGTTTGCGCTCCATATGAGTGACCAGATGGTTGTTGATGGTGCTGGAAGGCTGAAATTTGCCATTTCTTGAAATCAGTTGCTCTTCTGGCTAGGTCAGCAGTTCTTCTTGTGTTTTTTCCCTTCCTCAGCTCCAGAGTGCCTTTCAGCAYGTGCTTCCTCATTTTTCCAAACATTTCTTTTTGAAAGAAATACACTGGCTAAATGAGCTTGCTCAAATACATTTTGTACATCATCTTGCCTTCCTACACAAGTAGCTACCACAGCTCCTTGCTCCTGGTCACCTCTGTCTTACAAGTCTCCTCCATCACATAAGAGTGTGAATTATGAGCAGGGATTGAAACCCATGTTTCAGGCTGGGGATATTTAATTTGAGAGATTCAGATCTTCATATTCATAAGCACTAGGGAGAGAAGATCCCAAATAACTTAGTATCTGTTAATATCTTAACCTTGCTGATTCTTCGGTATTCGTTGTCAGGAATGGTTTTAAATTCCTTAAACAATGTGACTTCCAACACCTCTTCTGGCAGATTATCTCTGAGTAATCTCCAGCATGGATTACTTCTTGATAGGCAGCTCAAACATTGCTTAACTTTATCCTATAATTACTAGTTATTACATTAGTCCGTCTTAAGCATTCCAGTCTCCCTCCTGGAATGGTTCTGTCATCCGTCCTCCTCTGAGCCAGCGGCCTCCCCATCGCAGCTTGGATGGCACATTCAGTGGTTCGGAGTCATCAGGGTCTTCCTTTTTGCCTTTTTTAAAGCACATGCTAAAACATGGAAATGCCAGCAACCCCTGCTTCAACTTGGCCACCTGCAATGCCCAGGATTTTCTTGAAAAGACCTCTGGAGTCAAGCTGCCTTCTCCATACATACCTTGAACTTTTGATCAGAACTTTGTCCATCTGATGCTGTTGCCTTCTGCCTGTTTGAGTGATTTCTACATAGCGTACGTGGAAGTGGGCAGGGCCATGCCATGAAGATGAGCGCTGATGTGATACCTGGAGTCTCGTGCACCGGGTTCTGCTCCCAGCTGTGCCTGGCCTGCAGCGCTTCACAGACCTCCTCCGAGCTCCCAATGGCCTTCTCTGCCGAGAAGCAGAGTCCCCTTGTCCGTGCTGAGCTCAGCAATACGTGAAGGGCTTCCAGTTTCCAAACATCTTGTCTAAAACTAGCGTGGGTATCCCCTCTCTGCACGCTGTGTTGGAGACATATAAATTCTGTGTAAATGGAGATGCTTAGTATAGCCTGAGAAASAGAAGAGAAGTAAATGCAATCTTTCATGAAGCAATCTGAAAAGGAAGGATGGCGCTGGAARAGCAGGGCCTGCTGCTGAGCGGAGCGGACGTTTTGGTCCTCAAGTGGCAGCCCCGCTCTTGGGGAAACAGATTTTGGTGCTTAGAGTATTAACTTCTCTCTATTTTTCTTTTCTTCTTTATTTTTAATCCACTGGCTGCGGGAATAAGCTCGTGTTTGTTGTTTCAGATGTGGCTGCTTTATTATTCTGCACGAGCACGAACAGGCTTGACCTTTATTTGTGGCTGGCTCCGTAGCTGGTCCTGCACAAGCCAGGCTGGTGCCTCAGCCCCTCCCCATGAGGTCTTGGGTCGTCAGGGGGGAAGGAGAAATTAAAACGGGTATTTTCTCTATTTCTGTGGCTCACACACTCTCTTTCTCTTTTTTTTCCCCCACTTCCAGTAACGAGGATATGATGAACACAATAACCCCTAGTAGCACAGGGGTTGGCTTGCAACATGACAGACACCGGTTGTGTTGCTAAACGCCCCTGGAGAAGATGAGTCAGGTTATTTGAAGGTATCTCTCCATCGCAGGTCCTGATAGGGCCTATCTTATCACGCTGCCTGCAGACCTCCCGTCTGCAGCCCTTATCTTGGCAGTGTGGAGTTTTTGTGCTGCTATCTCTGTTTTTCCAACCGGGAACGGAGTTACGGGGAGGATGAGTGACTTGCTCGCAGTTGCACATGKAGCAACTACAGGACCATGCTGCAGTATCTGTGTTTCAAAGCCCTCTGTCTTTCCTCTTGAAGGTACAAGTGTCCATGGGAATCCATAGTCTTTATGAGTTTTCTCCTCCTACGAGTCACAGTTTGCCCTGAGTGTCCTCATTTCCGAATCTGCCCTGCCTCCACGCACAGATCCCGTGGCTTTGGTAGTCTCTGGTGTGTGGGGCATTTCTGCAGCCTCACAGTCCTCATGGTCCTCTCATGGCTTCATGATGCCTCAGATAGAGGTCTGTGTAACCTCTGCCCTTCTTCCCTCTACTTCCATCTCATGAACGTGGTGAATTCATCCATCTGCTCTTGCTAGATCAACGTGGCAAGCCTAGTGCAGGAATCTCTTGAGCCAGAGAACATTGTAGGTATCTGGAGAAAATTACCCGTCCTCACCCCGATCTGTTTGTCTCCCGTGGCCGTTTCAAGTGCTGGTGGTGCTTGTTTCCTGGAGCAGGAGCGTGGTCTTGCAGCGAGCGGCCCTTGTAGCGCCAGGACCCGTCGGTGGTGACGGCTGGATAAGTGCCTCGCAGCCGTGTGTTCCTCAAAGCTCTTGCTCTCCTTTCCTCTGCCCATTCCGCAGGATGTAGCTGCAAGCAGCCTTGCTGGACGTGCTTGTTGGTTGATCCGTGAGGCTCGTGGTGAAGCATTGCTTTTGGTTCCAAGAAGCACGGCTGATAGAAGAGCTCCCCTGGAAGTACTGCAGGGGAGATGTGTTGTTTTGGGGGAAAAGTGGAAAAAGCTTCAAAATTGACTCTAAATGTATCTAGGTATGGTGGGAAGGGAGCACTCCCTGACCAGGTGCACCGARCATGGTGACCGCACCAGACATGCGACCGCAGCAGTTCCTGCTCCATGGGGCCTCCAGCTCCTGTGGGAAACAGGTGCACACAGGCTCCTTCCCCATCCATTCACCTGCATTTCTGCAGAAAAATYACCATTTTAATAGAGCTCCTGTGATAGGAACACGATAGCTGCGTTTTGGTTTCGGTTTATGGATTTTTGAGATGATTTGTGATCAGACTGGTCCTTCCACAGCGCCTGGCTCTTGTGAGCTTGATAAAATTGACAGACGGTCTGGTATTAAAAAGACAAAAAAATAGATTCTAGTGCCAGACACACGTGAAAAAGGAAAGCCCTAACTTGTGGTGATAAAGTGCTAGCCATGACCTGTGGTCGAATGAGCTGCTGTCTGGTGGGAGTCCCACACGAGCACTTCAAAGCGGCGCCGCGAGGCAAGCGAGTTTCCTAGCCAGGGCTATAAAATCGTATTTTAACCCCTGCAAGCAGCTGACCACTTCATCTCATAAACATAGTGACGTGTAATTGTATTGCTCTATGGACGTATAATATTTCTTGATCTATAATAATGTCTTAACAAGGCAGAAAGCCGCTGGACGTCTCCGCAGTGCTAATTATTGAACTCTCTCTGTTCTTTCTCCTTTGCAATGGGAAGTGCCACCCAATCTGACTGTTCCTCAGGAGAAGTCTCCGCTGGTCGCGCGCGAGGGAGACACCATCGAGCTGCAGTGCCAGGTGACGGGGAAGCCCAAGCCCATCATCCTGTGGTCGCGAGCCGACAAGGAGGTGGCGATGCCGGACGGCTCCATGCAGTCGGAGAGCTACGACGGGACCCTGCGCGTCGTCAACGTGTCCAGGGACATGACGGGGACGTACCGCTGCCAGACCAGCCAGTACAACGGCTTCAACGTGAAGCCCAGAGAAGCTCTGGTGCAGCTCATCGTGCAGTGTAAGTACCCCCCCGGTTTTCCTTGCGTGTGGTTTTGCTGAGGGGAAAAAAAGAAGTCGATTTATTTCCCTCCTAAACACACAGCAGCAAGAATCTTATGGTTGTTACATTTTGGATGCTATGCTGTATGGCTCCCCGAATTCATGATTTTCATGTAAATGCAGACGTAAAAATGACATAGGAGTCCCATTTATATTAAAGAAGTGTGAGGCAATCATTATTTTCCCAGTTCCCAGCTCTAAATTTTCAGGCATAGGAACAAGTGCGCAAGGTAGGAGGACACATTTCTATAAATATGGATCTGATCCTGATCTCATTTGTTGATACTGTGTAAACAAACTGGAAAAAAAATGAGAGCGAGACCTGCTGCATCTTAGCTGATCTGTATACAGATCTGCAGCATGGTCTGTGCTGGTTCTGGTATGAACTGTCAGCCGCACTTGCGGGAGGGAAAAAATAAGGGGAAATCAGTTATTTTGGAAACGCTCATGGGAGGACCAAGCCTGGTCTGCTGTGGTTTATGCAAGACTTGTGCAGCCTTATTTATTGCAGTTTCAGGTGCCCAGTCAGCCTGTTGTGGGCAATTTTGCCTCCTGGGTTCAACCGGTCTGACCTCATCGGAGGCCTCCAGGGACGCGATGCTGCAGGATGCACTGCTGTTGTTAATAATTAGCTGGACTGGGTGTTTTTCATTGGGTGACACACGGGGTTGCTGGGCGGCCGGGCTGGCAGGGCGGCGTTGAGGGCGATGGAGCTGGTGGCAGGGCCCTTCCCAGAGCCCTGGGCCTTCATCCATGGTAGGGCTGCATCATCCCCCCCTCCCGGTTTCTAGGTGCTTCACTGACATATCGAAATGACGAGCAGAGCTGACCTTGGCAGATCCTGAGATCACGGCAGTGGGTCTCGTAAGGTGCAAAGAAGAAAGCTGCTGCTTTTCCTTTTTCTGTCACTAATTTGGTGTGAGAACTGTAAGAGCTTTTTTTTTTTTTTCTAGGTACTTGGGTCTTCCATTGTAGCCATTTAGTTTATGTTCTGCTTTTGTCGGAATACATGATCTTTTCTGTGTGTCGTGCAGAGACCCACACGATTGCCATAGCATCCTGCTTGTGGCTGCGTGGAGGATGAGCGTGTGGATGACGGGACGTTCTTCTAGGAATTTGGCTCATGTACAGATAGGCTTGTGGAAGGTGGTCTGGATAAAGTGAGAGCTCCAGGGGAGTCCTCTGAAGGCAAATCCACTCCAGGAGCTACAAGGAGCAAGGACATGTAGGTTGTCCTCCCCTCTCCGTCTTTGACAGATCAATTTTAAGATTTTCTCRTCTTATTTCCTGGGAACATTCCAAGAAAGCCCCGTTTCACACATTTTCAGACAGTAACTTGCTTTTTCCTCTGCAGTCCTCAGAAGCTGGGTGATACAGGCAGGGTAAGAGCTCAGAAGCTCTCCTAGCATTGCCCTGAGGCCACCTATGGTGTCCCCCATGCTTTGCCCTGCAAGACTTGATTTCCGAGTCTCCGGAAGCCATAGAAGCTCTTCCGTTAATCCAGTGAGCTCAGCATCATTGGTGCTGCCAYCCAGAGGGACCTGGACAGGCTGGAGAGTTGGGCAGAGAGGAACCTCATGAGGTTCAATAARGACAAGTGCAGGGTCTGCACCTGGGGAGGAATAACCCCAGGCATCAGTACAGATTAGGGGTCGACCTGCTGGARAGCASCTCCACRGAGMGGGACCTGGGAGTCCTGGTTGACACCAAGTTAACCATGAGTGAGCAGTGTGCCCTCGTGGCCAAGAAGGCCAATGGCATCCTGGCCTGCATCAGGAGGAGTGTTGCCAGCAGGTCAAGGGAGGGGATCCTGCCCCTCTACTCAGCTCTGGTGAGGCCAAACCTGGAGCATTGGGGGCAGCTCTGGGCTCCCCAGTATAAAAGGGACATGGAGCTCCTAGAGAGGGTCAAGCAGAGGGCAACAAAGATGATTAAGGGACTGGAACATCTCTCGTATGAGGAGAGACTGAGTTGGGCCTGTTCAGCCTGGGGAAGGATGAGAGCGGATCTGATCAATATGTACCATGGGTGGGAAGGGTGAATGTAGGGTGGAAGGGGCCAAGCTCTTCTCAGTGGTGACTAGATGATTCCTAGAAGTCCCTTCCAACCTCAATCATTCTTTAATTCTGTGATTATTTGTTCCTGGATCCCTTTCAGTGCTGTTAAATAGCTGATGTTATTTCCTTCACGTGGGTGGTAAATGTTTTGGATCAGATGTCTGAGTCTGAGGCCAGGAGGTTGTCAGGGGATTGTGTGGACATCCTCCAGCCCCATCTTGTGCTCTGAACGCACTGGGTTAACTGCTCCTGCTCCCATGGGTGCTGGCAGCTACGAGCACCAGGTAGCTGGGCTGGATTGCTTAGATTGCCATTATTTTACTGTAGTGTTGAAGGAAAAAGCCAGGGATGTATGTACAGATATTTTAAGCACCACATTATACACAGCAGTTCGTGTATTCTGAAAGAGATCAGAGACGCGACTTGAAAATGGTTATAATAAGCAGGAGTATAATGGGTATTTACAGGAGCTTTTTCTTTAATCTGTCCTTGTTCGGATTTCTACTCGCTTTATTCAGATGCTAGCAAGTGACAATTTGAAGATAAATGGACAAAACAGGTATTATGTAGTGCTGTGATTATTTCTTCTTGTGGGAGAAGAGCATGTGCGTTCCCATTGACTTCAGTCTTGTTTCTTAATTGGCATAGCGTTTATTTAGTTGTTACAAAAATCACTTCTTTTGAGCAACTTCGTAATATTTGCTTTGGAGATGCTGCTGTAAGCCATAAACAGGGATAGCTATTTAATGAAACTCTTTGATTTATGGAACAACTCGTTGATTTGGCTGTGGCTGCGGCRCGAGCAGCTGCCCCGCTAGCCGGGCRCGAGGTTGGAAGGGACCCCYAGGGATCCCCCAKCSCAGCCCCTGCTCCCGCAGGGACACCCAGAGCACGGGGCACCCRGGCGCATCCMGGCGCCTTGGGAAGATCTGCAGAGCAGGAGCCTCCGCAGCCTCCCTGGGCAGCCTGGGCCAGGGCTCGGGCACCCTCACACCAAACAAGTTCTTCCTCACGGCCACACGGAGCTGCCTGGGCTTCACCTTGTCCCCACTGCCCCTTGTCCTGGCACTGGCCACCACCCAGAAGAGCTTGGCCCCTTCCTCCCTACTTTCCCCCCTCGTGTACTTATACATGTTGATCAGATCTCCTCTCAGCCTTCTCTTCTCCAGAGAAAAGGGCCCCAGCTCGCTCAGTCTCTCCTCGTAGGAGARGTTCTCCAGTCCCTTCATCATCTTGGTTGCCCTCTGCTGGACCCATTCTAGAAGCTCCACGTCCCTCCGGTCCTGGGGCGCCCGGTGTTGCTGCCGAGCTAATGCTCCAGGTCACATCCTCCAGTTCAAACTTAGTGCCGAGGGTGGATGCGGCGCTGAGGACGTGTTAGCTGCGAACCTTGCCAGGTGGAGCGCAGGAGGTTGCCTTGCCTCGCCTCTCGCCTTCCCTTTGCTCCCACGCTCTGTGACACTGGCATGCCACACTGCCGGTGCCCGAGGAAACGGGCCGTTTTCTGGGCTTTTTGTTGCAGTTTGGGGTTGAACCACAGCCTGGGCTGTCCATGTTAGGTATTTGCCACCGATATTGGGGAGCAGGTGTCCGTGCGGGGCCAGGGCTGGGCGCCCTGCAGCCCCGCGCACCCTGGGCCGCTTTCCCATGTGCAAATCGTAGTTGATTAAAACCCGAAATAAATAAGCACCTGCACACGGTGCCCCGCTTCCACACTTGAGAGAGAAAACCGCCTGCGGGCCCCACGAAATCCAAGGATCTCATCGTGTACCCAGCGAGCGCTGGCAGCGACAAGGACACGGCCGTTTTTCACTACAGATATTGCTGTGTCTGAGCTCGCATTTTATGYGATTTGACTTTGGTGCTACATAAAATACTGTTTGTAACCAAAACTCTTATCCAGATGCATCAGTCTCCAAGTACTTGTAAAACCCTTAAAACACCCAGTGTATTTTGAGGTACCTTGGTTGGCAGAAGAATGGCCAACCAGCTCTTGATACTTGGAGTTCTCCTTTCAGGTTGAGTTCAGGCTCATCTACCCCATCCTTCTCTGTAATAAATTATAAACAACTAATGAAGTCACAGCAAACCGGAGCGTTCTTTAGGGATTATATTTGTAATAGAACAGAGCTGATTAGTAAGAAATATGAGGCTGAATTATGAAATCCGGAGCGTTAGTTCTGGTTTCACCTCAGCGTGGGAGAGTTCAGCACTGCGTCCTCTCAATTTCTACTCTGGGCAGTATTTGCAGCTGAAGATGGAAAAAAAAGATGTTCCCTTCTGCTTTAGATAGGGAATTTGGCAACTCAGACATGTCTGTTCTCTGAGATCAGTATCTGCCAATTCATATTCATGATCATACTTTTTTTTCCGCTGTTGTGGTTGAGGATTTGGATGGAAGAACCCGATGAATATTCAGGAGAGCAGTTATACACCCCCTTCCCGAACTCGTTGCCTTGTTGCTTCCCAGTTCTTCCTTTGTAGGTCACTGACTAAGTGTTGTCCTCCACTTATAGCACTTGGGTTTGATTTAGGCTACTTGAAGTGGGAGAAAACGTAGAGACAAAAAAAGCAGAATGTTTCTATGCCATTCTTTTTTTTTTTAAGCATAGAAATTAATAAATGCCCTTAAAAACATTAAAACTTTAAAATACACCTTGCTCCCATTTGTTTTTATCACATCAGTTTGCTTTCTGCAATTGCTTTCTCCATCCTGCTGCTGTGAGAATGTGTTGCAGAAATGCTGAACCCCTCCTTTGCAATTTTTGCCCATATATAAATATACATTTTTTTAAATGTATGATACAGATGCAATTAACAGTCACGTGCTGCCTATATGAGCTTAAAGATCCAGCCTTCTCCTTGGCAATATATTCAGGCGGTCCTGGCAGCATCACYGTCA